AATAAACTTTTCTCTTAAATTCAAACCAACCCTCTGTGATCAGACCCTGGCTCTGGCTCTGTCCAGCTTTGATGGCCATTGAGTTTCTAGGACCTTAGCTCCCCCAAGAAAGTCTCCATCATTATCAAAGACTGTACACATATTCCCATACATCACAACAGAAGTGTTTTCCCCCAACCCTGTCTGCTAGTCCACATCTCTCCTTGGAGAAAACCAGTGTTACCAGTTTCCCAAGTGTATTTCAGACATTCTGTGTAAAGGGTAGCAAGAAACTTTTGTTCCAATTTTTACACAAAAGTTAACATATATAGCAAAGCGTATACAGTTGCTCAGTGGAATATATGGGTGCAAAGGTTCCTTGCATAAAATGACCTAGTTTTTGCTTAGAGCCCCTGCATATGCCATGTAAACTTAAATTCTTCTCAAGATGACACAACACTACATCCAATGGAAACAGTTCTACTCTGTTATATCATAGAGTCCAGGAAGTAAGGACAGGGGAGGGGCCCTGTAAATGCCCAGTACAGATATAGCCTTTGCGGGTCTAGCTATATGGTATACAAATGGGAGGTGAGACCCACAACACCCCCATGATGGGTGATGGAAGGGACCATGAGCTCCTGGGAACTGCAGCAGGGTAGACCTTATCTCACTTCATTCATGTAGAGTCAGAATTGTGCTCAGTATGTGGTAAATTCATGGGCATGGGAGCTCTAGAGAAGGGACTAACAGGACACAGGTGTCCAGGAAGGGAGAATGGCAAAAACACAGTGAGAGGTTAACTGGGAAAGAAGAGAGGGCAATAGTAGGGGAGCAAGAAAAAAAAAGGAAGAAGAAGAAGAAGAAGAAGAAGAAGAAGAAGAAGAAGAAGAAGAAGAAGAAGAAGAAGAAGAAGAAGAAGAAGGTTTGAAAAAGCCATAGGAAATAAATATTATTTTGCTGACCTAAAGTTACATATAATACATTAAGTATATGTGTGTACATATGTATATAGTTTAAATGAAGATATGCTGCTTAGGGTAATAGTGTTCCCTTCAAGTTTCATAGACTATCTAACAAAAACCTCAGTATCAGGCATGAGAAACCTCCTTTGAAATTTTTGGTCAGAGGAATCCAAAAGATTTCCAAAGCAATGGAAGGTATTGGTGCTAGCCCCTTGGTTGTCTCGCAGAAGTTAAAGTCCCTGCTGCCGAAGATGTCATGCACTTAGGACATAGGACTTGACCTGTAAGCTCCCTCCCTAAGGACTGGATTTCACAGTACCTGGCAATACAAGCAGCCAGGGGAGAAAAGCGATCAATCCTCCTGCCCAGCCGTGAGGCTGAGAACCACACCAACTTAGAGTGTTTCAAACTTCGTAGAATTTTTATCTGAATATTTTCAATCCATGGTTGGTTGAATGACAGATGTGAAACCTGTGGAAACTGAGGGCCAACTGTATGTGCTATGTACAGGTACACACATAGTAAGCACATGTGCATACATAGCCTGTGATGTTTTGACTTAACATGTCATAGTGAGAGTTCTGAGATCCTTGGTGACCTGGGTGCAGAGACATATCTCATTCACTTTACTTAAGGAGCTACTACTATGGGTTCAAGAGAACCCAGGTGATCCCCAGTCTCCTGTGGATAGTGCTGTAACTTAAATCTACCTTTGGTGTGAATACAACTGTAGAGTAAGTCTTCATAACTGCAGAGCTAGATCCACCAACTATGTCTGTGACTTTTCCATCCTTCTGCCAAGTTGCTTAGCAACACTGTAAAATGTTCCCAACAACCTACCAGCCCAGTAGACCCCCAAATGATATTTGAAACCAGTGTCAGTTTCATGTTAACTTGGGTTTATCTCATTGCTGGGTAGTTTCCAAGGTGCAAGGGGGCCATTTGCATTTCTTTTTCTCTGCATGTGAATTCCACATTCATATCCTCAGCACAGTTTTACATGGAGTTGGGCTACTTAGATAAGTTATTACTCTATTATTAAATGGCAGGAATCCTTTAGCCATGTGGGGAACAAAGCATTTCTTGCTAGTTTATGATCCGCTCTGGGTTCACTTCCCTGAAGCATCCACACGCATAACCATTTAGCTGTTTCAGGCCTGTCACTGGTTACTCTAGAGAGCTCTGGCAACTTCGCCTTACTTCTTTGGGGCCCAGAATGTTGATGTCACTTCAGCAATGGTGGGGGGCAGAGCCAACATTTGAGCCACATCCTTTGATCACCCTCCAAGCTTTCAGCATCTTTGCTGTGTTCCCTTCTAAAACACCTGGCAGTCCCACAAGGGGTGGGCGGCCTTTATTTTCCCATGTTGCTATAACACCTACCGTGTGGCTAGGTGCACAGATGCTCACTGCCTAACGGGTAGCTCCTCCTTTCCCTCTCCCTCTCTCTCCCTTTTCAATGTAGTTTTTATAGGTAACTCTTGCTAACTTCCTTTTAGCCTCTTATATTGATTTTTTTAGAAAATCCACAAAGTCCCCAGATAAGAGAGAATACACAGGAAGACAAACATCAGACACGAATAGCTAAAGGACATTTGCTTTTTGAATAGTACAGAGCAGCTTCATCTGGCCAGATAAATGTTTTCACTCTAATGGGAAGCAAAGATGCACCCACAGGCACCCAGTCTGCCAGCTCCACAAGTTCACCTCCTGAAGGGCAGAGCCCCAGCAGAGAGACAGTGTTCCTTCCAGCCAGAGGGAGGTGTGCTGGGATCTCGCTCTGTGGGTGGTATGGCCTCAGCTCTGAGGCCCCCATCCCTGCTGGCGAATTCTGGAGAGAATTCAAACATTTGAGCTCTGCCTCCCAGCCACCCTGAGAAAGCTGCTCACACAGGAGCATTCCCACAGTCACGGACATTTCTTAAATATTCCATCCAGGTTTCCAGAAGCAGCTGCAGCCCCAGGCCTGTGAGATTAGCAAGTACTGAACTCCACAGCCATCTGTGGCCACAGCCTGCCTCATTCTCATCCTGCCCATCATCAATTAAAAATGGAAGCTTAAAACCACTGGGACTTTGCTGAGCTATGGCCCAGCTAATAAGCTGATTTGCTTAGGCCACATGAAAGGGAGAAACAAGGTCTGCCCAGGAGCATCTTGGCTTGATGTTCCACAAAACATGGTTGTCTGTGTTCTGTACCTCCTCAGGAGACAGACTGGTAGTTTGTGAACATCACTCTGGAGTATAACCCTGTGCTGGTTTCTTTTCCCCCTCCAGGCCTCCAGGCAATGCCAGCCATGCTCCCTTGTCTCTCTGCCCCATGTCCTTGATCACCCTTCCCTCCTCCTCCTGGGCACCACTGAGATGCTAGGCATCATGCACAGCTGGCCTGTGGACCTCAGAGAAAGCTTTTCAATATAAACCCAGACCTCATAGCAAAAGCAGAAGCAGAAAGGTCCATACCACCTCCCCCACCCCGTGTGTGTGTGTGTGTGTGTGTGTGTGTGTGTGTGTGTGTGT